GTAGGAGGCATAGGGATATTGATTTTTTTTTTTTTTGTCAAATGTTTTTGTAATATTGTTTTGTCAAATGACAATCACCTGCTGGGGTTATTGAGTTTTAGTGCTATCACTGGGACAGTGGTTGTTAGCAATCAGGGACATATCCCACCTAGTAATACATTATTCAAAAAAATTGTGAAGGGAATGTACAGAACACGCCTTGGCTAAGCCTCAAAAATTTAAAGCAAAATATGTCTATTCTTTATGTCCATGTGACTGAAAATCATAGGTGAACCATAATAATCAGCAGGTAAAGTAGATTATGTTATAGAGGAACTCCCCTCCATGTATATTTTTTTAAGTCTCTTCTTATAGTTTTGTACATGGTTACCCTAAATCAGGGATGTCCAAACTGCGGCCCTCCAGCTGTGGTGGAACTACGAATCCCATGAGGCTTTGCAAGATTCTCACAGACATGACTCCCAGAAAGAAATGCTTCATGGGATTTGTAGTTTCACCACAGCTGGAGGGCCGGAGTTTGGACATTCCTGTCCTAAATACTCGCACCCTCAGTGTTGTAGTCTTCCACTCTGCTGCCGCACACCTAGCCCTGCACCGCCATTTTTCTTCTGTCATCAGGAGCCAACTGTCTCTTCTGGATCTTGCAGCCTGCCCCTCCTATGATGGACCACCATGTCCTTCCTTTTCTACCCTCAGTGCGTTAGCTGAATACTCCTTGGGTGTGTGACGTGCATTTCCCAGGAGGCTGCAGCAGCAGATTGCAAGTCATTCTTACCTAGGTGAGAATGGAGGGAAGGGGCGGGGTTGACTGTGTTTTGTACCCGTAAATTTCCTACATAGCAAGCCGCCTAGTAAGGCTTGTATATTCCCCAAAGGAATTATATGCAAATAACCACTCACTGAAGCTGTTCTTGACCCTACTTCATTTAACTCATTTTCATTTACCCTTCTAATGACCGGTAATGATGCCATGGCCGTAAAGTGTTCGGCAAAGCACAGCTTAAACCGACCCTGTCGCCAACTAAAACAATTTGCAATTAAAAGCATGGAAAAAAATAGACCCATCCCTTCTTGTACTTTATAGCCCTCTCCTCTTTTGGCAATGTCTAATTGTCTGTGCTGGCTCAGGTCCTCCGTCCGTCTCCTCACTTCTCTACATAACCTTTATTGTGCTGCTAGGTGAGGAGCAAAGGGGAATACTATTGAGTGTCAGTTCTGTGTCTGCTGGGACTGCATCACATCTAGGATGGCGGTGTCCAGTAGCAGTCTGGGGGCTGTGGGTTGTCTACATAAGGAAAGTTTTTACAGGACAATACCATCCTTAAAATATTATATATGAAATGCACATATTGAGTGAAGATTTCTGTTGAAATAAATGGTCTGGCGCAGGGTTTCTTTAAGGCTGCATGGATGGAATTTGTATGTTGGTCCTTAGTGCCCCCTGAGAATCTTTTGAGTTTGTAGCAATTTGAGGTGAATGCAGGTACACTTTAAATTGCAAGTTTTGCTTTTTCTTTTAAGTAAAAAGTAATGATTATGACTCCCATTGCAACTTAGTTTTTGATTTCACTTTCTAAAATCGTATTGGTTGCAATGGGTAATGCCTGTAAATGTTTGCTGCAGTTCTATAAGTGACCCCCTCCCATTATCCATATCCACCACTGACACGTAGGTTGCTGGTTATCCTTTACCCAAGTATGTTGCACTTGATTGTATAAGGCCACATTCTGTTCTGGCTGGTAAGAGATATATATGATGTATGCTTTGTTTTTTTTCAGCTAAGCTTTTAAGTCTTCCAGATGGCCCCAGTTCCATTTCACAGAGTCAGAATATTACTGTAATGTATGGAAATATCACAGATGAGTTTACAATTCCACTTTTGTGAAGATTGTCCGACGGAAAATGTGCTGTGTCCGGTTATTGATTTTTACCACATGCTGTATATCATTTAAATGTTCTCAGCCGCAGAGGGAACATTCCTATTGCCCTACTTCAGTGTGATGCAAAGAAGAATGACCTCTTTCAGTGGATAAAATTGTGTTTAGGGAATGTCACAAAGCGTATGTATATAATGTAAAGTAATGTAGACCAGAGGTCAAGCAGTCCAAACTTTAATGATGTACTGTGGAGTACAGTTAACATATGGAGGAGCAATAGTTGGTACTAAAGTAGCAAAATGGGTATTATCTGTCTCCTGTTAATGTATCATTTCTTAACATTGTTTTGTATCTGTAAATGGTTGTGTACATTTTGTGTGATAATTTACCATACAGGTTGGTAGCCACTCGAGGGCTCCAAGCTTGCTCCTGTGATGGACTACAATCTCAAATTTTTGTAAAGTCCCCACCCATACATACACCCATGCAAACATGCTTGGGGTGCGCATACGTGCGAAAATGACGATTGCATCCATTACGCCGCACGTGTTGCATATCGCCGCAAACGTCGTAGTGAGAGCAATAATTCTAGGGCCATTAATCACTGATAACACTAAGACCCCGTTCACATTGAGCTTTTTATCGTTGGTAATTCCCGCAATTTACTGCGCGATATCGCTCTCCAATGCTTCTCAATGGGGCAAAGGGTCCTGCTGTCGCGGGTCGTGTGTCGCTACACCAGGACCCTTTTTGGAGCGGATTTAGCCGCGATTCAAGCTTGCGCAATGCAAGCATTTGCGCGATATCGCGCAAAATGCAAATCGCGCGACAAACGCGCGATTTGCGAACCGCTCAATGTGAACGGGCTCTAAAATGATGAACGATAAAAGCTTTTAAAGCGTCACCTATGGTAAATTTTTGGGTATGGTAGTTTTTTGCAATTATCGTGGGTGCGCACAATTTTAAGGCTTGACATGTTTGTTGTCTATTTTCCCGACGTTACCCCGTCTTTTATGTTCTACCAAAAAATTGGGTAATGTATTATAACACCTTTTTTTTTTTCTTCAAAATCTAGGGTACTTTTTTTGTTATATAGTAAAAAATAAAAAAAACCCAGTGGGGATTTAATACCACCAAAAGAAAGCTCTATCTGTCCCCAGAAAATGGTATGCAATTAATTTCAGTACAGTGTTGCATGACAGAATAAATGTCAAAATACTGCAGCGCTGAATACTGAAAAATGGCCCAGCCAGGAAGGTTGTGTAAACACCTGGTCTTCAAGTGGTTAAGAAGTCATTGCTGTACTGATTCAGTGAAGGGCTTTTTGTTTCTTATAGTTCCTTCCAGGGTATCCTTGAATGATGTGGTCAAAGGTAGGCAGGCACCCTCCTAGTGATTGAGTTTAGGTACACAAAGCCAGGTCCGTAAAAATATTGTGTGATGAGTTTGCTTTAGAGAAACTCAAGTGCCCTTCACAGCTATGAAACACCACCAAATGTGAGCCAGATCATCTTGTCCAGCATTAGTACCTGACCTTACCTTGCCTAAAAATGGTCAGCAATTCCCACAGACACACTCTAGAATCTATTCAGGAAAATAGGCAAGATTCAGGCTGGCGCAAACCAATGGGACTGGTGCTCACTCCACCAATGCTAGGAACCACGAGGCTGCCCTCTCAACCAGGGAGTCACTGGAATCTTGACTACAGGCAACAAAACACAGAGCAAGCGCCACCTCCTAGTGCAGTATGTTTATTGACCAAATGATGAAATAGAGTAAAAAGGGTCTACTCACTATTCCTAAAGGAAACCAGGCACATCAATAACTGAGTCCGATGGTCCAAGAACGCTGTATACCCCAACGGGGGGTCAGTGCTAATGTATTTCGGGGTAACCAACCCCTTCCTCAGGGGAAGACTGAAGATCTTTTTTAAGCAAGTACAGAAAATTAAAATTTTTCAGCAAGTACAGAAAATACAGTTGATCAAAAATGCAGTGTCCATGTAACTTTCTGTGAAATCACAAAGAACCATATCTTTGATGTGTAAACTTCTAGTCCCATCAATCTACCATGTAATAAATATGAACACAGGCATCCTGTGTGACAACCTTGGCTCCCTCCATAAACAGAATGGAAAAATTAGTGTAGACATGAGGAGGCAGGAAGTGTGGTGTTTGCAGAATTCCTGAAAATACAGGGAAAAGAAAACTATTGCAGCTATTACATCTAAGAACTGATCACCTGCGGTATATATTTTTTGGGGTTTAGGTACACTTTAATGCACATGGTTTTGGAATGGCGTGTCCAGAAAGGTTCCACAAATGGATGGACATACTATCAGTGGTGTATTTTGGTTTTGTGCTGCCCTAGGCAAGACTAAACTCCAGTACCCCTCCCCCCAATATAAATTGACCCCACCCCTCCCTGTTTAAGATAATTTGCGTTACTTGTCAGTTGCTGGATACAGCTTCTGACAGGTTGCGCTATTAGCATAGTGAGGAAGCCCGCTGTGCATTTTGCTTATCCTGTCAATAGCTGGATACAGCGAGCGCCTCTTTAAATAGTAAGATGCGCACGCTGTATCACTTCTGCCAGTGTCGGAGAGAGGAGGCTGAACTCGTTGGTGGATTTGGGTAAAAATAATTTACTTTTTTTTTTTCACTTAATGGCAGGTGAGGCTCTGCGTTTTGTGCCTATCTTGCTTTGCCTCTGCATATTATACAGTTCAACTCCCTAACAGAAACACAGACCGTAATTAAAGAAGGTTTTAAACCTTAGCCACTTGGTGTGATTGTCTTTGTCATGACTGTCACTGGGACAATAAGAAAAATACTCCCTAATTGGGGACATGGACTGCAATGGAAACCTTAAGATAGTTGTAATCCGTAACCACTCTATTCAAAATGTAAAAAGAAAAGCCACTACTTTAACCAGCATTGAGAATTTTCTTTTCCCCTTTAGATGTATTGTTCTCCATTACCACTGCTCTGCCCCATTAAACAATCATAACAAAATACAAAATATTACTATTGAATGTTAATATTTCAGTTTATTGTATGTACCTTGTTCTTTCACCTGCATTAATTCCCACTTAAAATAATATCTGCTGTTTTGATTTCACAGTCAACGATCTGGGAGGCGACATCAAAGGAGACGGGAAAAGTACATCAGCAGCAGAGAAGGTTGTTGAAGAAATTAGGGCAAAAGGAGGAAAAGCGGTGGCCAATTATGGTATGGGATTCTGTCAGTCCTCATGTCTGATGTGTATTTCATCTTTAATTCATTTTGCTGCCACAAACTCATTTCCACATTCACACATGTACAAATTATAGCACATGAAAAACATCGCTTTGGGGTGAACTGCTAAATTAATTGTTGTAAAGCATAAATTAGCCCTCTAAAAATGGAATATATATTTGTAACAGTGCAGTGCACAGTGTGTTATTACTACTCGAATAGCACTCATTAGAGCTTTGCCTTCACAATATTTACTATCTTTACTATGTCAACACTTTTGATCCTTGATAGCGGCAAGTACTTGCTGCAGCCTTTTCCTTTTAAGCTCTTTATTGGCTATTACCTTATAATAAACAGGTTGTCATCTTTACAGCAGGCTTCTTCCTCAAGTATATGGCTTCACTTCTAGAAAATTGGGCTCATGTTATAGGCCGTTTGGAGTAATATACAGATTTAAAGTAACCCTGCTATTTAATTAAAGTCCAATTTGACTTTCAATGTAAATCTGCTATATACATTCCAGGTGCATTAAATATACTGTATATGAGGGGGGATTCCTGAAAACTGTAGAAGACAGTTTTCTTATGGCAACCAATCAGCTTCTCTCAAGTTTGTTCAGTCAAGCTTTGAAAATGAAAGAGAGAAGCTGATTGATTGCCATGGGCAACTGCTCCAGATTCTGTCTGCTCTAGTTTTTATGAATTTCCCCTATGGTGTTCACAGTCTGTTTTTCATTAGAAATTAGAAAAGTCTCTCCCTTGTCAGCATGCTGTAGACAAGGACACTTGCTCTCTGAGTGGAAGCAGCAGCTTCTTTGCAGGGGTACAATGTGCCCCTTTTTCCGTGAGACCAATAGCTTTGCAATCCACAAAGCATTCTTGCTGCTGATTTGAGATGTCTAGCTCTGACGGATCTTTGCAGAAAGGCCACTCCTGCCACTGCTTCCACACAGAGAGCAAGGGACCTTCTCTACAGCATGCTGGCAGGAGGCTTTTCTACTTAGGCTGCGGTTGCTTTCTATTGAAAACAAATTGTAAGAGTTTGCGCACATTTTGTTTTAATGCACCCAGAATGCTTTTGGATGTTTTAACCTGAAAGTTTATTCTGGCTTTAAGGTGACACAACTCAGGAGTTAAATCTTAAAAATGCATTTAAAGGAGAACTATGGGGTCAGTGTTTTTCCCCATAGTTCTCCTTAGGGTAACGGGAGGACACAAACTAGCGTCCTCCCGTTGCTCTAAGCTCAGTATACCGCGAGCTACAGCTCGCGGTATACTGAGACGCCTCAGCCGGAGCGGATCCCGACTTAGATGACGGGATCCGCCCAGCTGCGTGAGTGACAGCTGGCTCTGCCTATGTAGAGGCAGAGCCAGCTGTACCCGCCCCCGTCCGTTCCGCCAGTCACCGCTGGCAGATCGGAGCGGGGAGAGGGGAATCCAGCCCCTCCCCCTGTCACGGCAGAGAGCCGTGACAGGATCGAGAGGCGAGCGAACCCGGTATGTGTTCGCTCACCTCCCGATCTACCGAGCCAACCTGTGACAGTCTCATTGTCACAGGTCGGCTAGAACTATGAGGTGAGTGAAAAGCACTCACCTCATAGTTCTCCTTTTAAGTACCCTTAGCTCTGGTTCACACCTTTTTGAGCAGTTTGAAAAGCGCTTTTAACTGCCCAACACAAGAAATCCCATGATTTTCAATGGCCCTGGTTTACACCTAGCAGGAAAACGCCAGACGCCTGAGGTGTGAACCAGGGCTAACTAGTAATATAAATGTTGCTTAATTATGTATCGCTCAACTGTAGATCCTCAAATCATCTCTGTATTCATGCTAACACTGTCCCTCCTTCTGGAGGGTGGCTCTTTTGTTTCCCATGGTCCCTGTGTGTGTTGTAAAGTAGCCACCGCTCCAAGCTCACTCCTGTGATGGACAATTATCTCAATACAAATTAATAAACTAAATGTGAGATTGTAGTGCATCATGGGAGCGAGTTTGGAGTGGTGACTACTTTACAACACACACAGGAACCATAGGGGAACAAAAGTAGCCCCCCTCCAGAAGGAAGGACAGTGTCAGCAGAAATTCAGAGATGATTTGAGGATCTACAGCTGAGTGATGCACAAAAAAGATACAGTATTCTTAACAGTTAGGCTGGATTCACACCTAGGCGTATCGAATATGCGCGTTTGTTGCGAGTTTCGTGCCGTGTGTTTTTCGCTACTTTGCTGTATCCCAATGGATACGAGCGGCAAATACACCCCAAAGAAGCTCCTGTACTTCTTTGGGCGTAGGGTGTTTTGTAGCGCGTTCATACGGCCTGTAATACGCCCAGGTGTGAACCATACCCATAGGAAATAATGGGATTTCGTTGTTTGAGCGTTTTGCAGAGCGTAGGAACGTGCTACAAAATGCACAGGTGTGAACGGGGCCTTAAGGTACTTGAATGCAATTTTAGGATTTAACTCCTGAGTCGTGTGTCACTTTAAAGTGAATTTAAAGCTTTTCTGCAATGTGTACCATAAATAATTGCTGTGTTTTTTTTCATAAAATACTTTTTTGTCATTCTTTTTGCATCTCAGTGCTTTTGGTCTCCTCCAGTTCTCTTTTCAGTCATTTTCTGTCTGCATGCATTTGCTCCAGCATGGCTGCAGATCACTGCTCAGGACCAGATCCTGAACGACAATGGTGGACCATGCTGGTGTAATGTATTTTGGCATGGCTGCTCCAACAGGGGTACTTGTGACAGGGTGACCACTCTAGAGCACAGCTGGGAAATAGTTGTAATCCCATGATAGAAAGTGACTGAACAAGGCCTTTTATAGCAAGTTGACCCGGCAGTTTTTTTTAAAGATTAAACCGTATTGAAAGGCCATGTTACAACCTAAAAAATGCAGGAAAAGCATAGCACAGCAACATATAAATTATTGTAAATGCTAACTTGCAGTGTTTTTCCTTTTCACAAATGTTTTTGTATTCACTTGCAGTGTTCCTTTGAACGTTCTGAAAAATTTGAGTACTCCATATCAGTTTAGCTGTGTCAGTTCCCTAGCACAGCCCCTCCCTCTTTGCACATCGTAGTTCTCTCCTCTCCTGGGTGGGTCTAATTACTCCCTGTGCTGGCCCAGCTCTTTTGCCTGCCCCCTCACCATTCTACATAACGTTTTATGTAGCTACTGGGGGAAGAAGGGGAATACTACAGAATGTCACTGCTCTGGGTCTGCTGCGGTTGCTGACTTTCAAGATGGCGCTGCCCAGCAGCAGTCTCAAGACTTTTTGATGTCTATACAAGGGAGCATTTTACAGTTAAATATCTGTCAGTTAATCAGTTAAACCTTACCATGATTTATGAGTTGTTTGCTACATATACTGGCTGGTAATCAACATCATCTAGGTTCTGTCTTTTGAATCATGGCTGAACAAACATGAATTGGTGGAATTTGAATGTCTGTGCCTATGTAGAGGGAAACCTGGGGGCACTAGCCTATCATAGTGGATAGACTTTCAAGTTGAGGTGAGATGTTACAAAAGCACATTTGCTGGTTTGTGGGGCCCTGGTAGTTGATTGGGCTTTTAAAACACATATGTGACAGGCATAGGAAGAAATCTAATGTTTTGTAAACCATATAATAAATGCAATTTTTTAAACTTACATTTGCTATTCCAGTACAGAAAGCCATTACAACACGTCCTGCTTCTCTTCTACCCTTTTTGTGTCAGCTATTATCTGAACTAAGCTCACCCATTTATTACCAACATGCACAGCTTTTCATAGGAGAGAACTGCAACATTTCAAACAAATTTCAGCTACACCATCTGGTGAAACCTTGTAGTCTGACTAGAAGCCTTGTGGGAAGTTAGGAGCCTTCCAGGTTACTTAAAAAGCCCATTACAAGAGGGGATTTTTTATTCCCATTTAAAAATCAATTTCTTTTTTTTTATATATAAACTAACCAATGACATGTGTCTGTTCTGTGGTTAATGCTTTTCCTATAATGGTTTGTACAACATTATTTTCACTGCAGAACAATCAGAGTTTGTCAGCTTGTGTTATGTACTTGCTTTAGATTTTTTTCCCCCTCTTTTCTATTGCTATTCTTAAAGCTTGTCTACAAGTTGTACATGATGTTGGCTTTTTTTTTTGGATTAGTAAAAGCTTGTATTTCACAGAAGCGGATTTATTTTCCATTAAAGACACCGTAGTATAATGCTCTTGCTCTCATGGGTCAGACCCTCAAGAAGAGCTGAATCATGGCTATCTCAGTGCTGTCCTCCAAATCTGAAATTGCCCACTAGGATCCCCGCTGAGTCTTAAGTATCAGACTTTCCCATCTTTTTCAGGCGACAGCCTTTACACCTTCCTTTTCAAGAGCTGGATGTTTTTTTTTTCTTGCTGTCCATCTTTTTTTTTTCTTTAATTTTTTCTTTTATTTATGTCCTTGTGACATTCAAAATAAATCTTCATTTGCATTCACATTCGTTTGGTATGCCTCCCCTACCTGAAGATATGTAGTTTTTAATCACATCTCTGCATCCTCTCCATGGAGGTGAATTGACTGATATCATCATTATTATCTCTTAGTAAGAGGCTATGGCTGCAAGCCCTCTGCTGTTTTTGCCATTAACTCTGTTAAGGATATCTGATTAATGATACAAGAATTCTTGCAGGTAATATTCTGCCACTATCTAATGCTCTTCATAATGTATATTTCGCACACAGATCTAATATATGTGTGAAGAATGACTTGATATAAAAAATAACATATCATAAGCTCTGCCAGTCTGGCTATGATATATCATGAGCACAATGTTTTTTTGACCCGGTCAGAGAAGAAATATTAGTTTTATGCCATATAATCGGACACCTTTTTCTTTGTATTGAAGCTAAACTCCGGGCACAAAAACTTTCATTAAAATATATTTCACAATAGCTACAAAGTATGCAAGTCCACTTTGTGTACACCATATACCTTTAGGGATGCACCGATACTTTTCGAGTA